CTGATTATTTCCTAGTAACCTCTGTAACATTCCTTATTATTCTCATTTTTTCTCTCTCACTAATTTCTCATAGTGTATCCTTCTTCATGATGTTTCGCTCTTCTGAAATGTCCTCCTTCCTTTTTCTTTTTTTTTTTTTTTTTGAGACGGTGTTTTGCTCTTGTTGCCCAGGCTGTAGTGGAGTGGTGCGATCTCTACTCACTGCCACCTCCACCCCTGGTTCAAGAGATTCTCCTGCCTCAGCCTCCCGAGTAGGTGGAATTTACAGGCGTTCATGACCACGCCCAGCTAATTTGTGTTTTTAGTAGAAACAGGTTTCTCCTTGCTGGTCTTGAACTCCCAACCTCAGGTGATCCTCCTGCCTCAGCCTCTCAAAGTGCCCAGATTACAAGTATGAGCCTCTGTGCCCAGCCACAGGTCCTTTCTTACCCTGTTCTTTTTTTTTTTTTTTGGATATGGAATTTCACTCTTGTTCCTCAGGCTGGAGTGCAGTGGCAAGATCTTGGCTTACTGCAACCTCTGCCTCCCAGGTTCAAGTGATTCTCCTGTCTCAGCCTCCTAAGTGGCTGGGATTACAGGTACCTGATACCACGCCCAGTTAATTTTTGTATTTTTGGTAGAGATATGGTTTCACCATGTTGGCCAGGCAGGTCTTCAACTCCTGATCCACTGGCCTCAGCCTCCCAAGGTGCTGGGATTATAGACTTGAGCCACCAAGCCCTTCCCTTTTACCCTGTTCTTAGCTAAATTCTATCCATCAAGGCCAATTTCTCTCTGTCTCATTACATCATCATGAGCTCTGCATGTGAATGAGGATTTTAAAGCCTGTAGTAATTGTATGTTGGTCCCATTGCTATATTGATGGAATGATATAGATCACAAGCACTGTAAGATTCACATGAAGAAACAAACTCCAAGAACTGGGACCATACAGGATGGAAGAGGTGGAACTTAAGTTTCTTTTTGTAGCTGGGACCTCAGGTGTGCGCTACTATGCCCAGCTAATTTTTTAATTTTTTGTAAAATTTTTTGTCTCACTTGTTGCCCGCTTTGGGGGCCACCCACTATCTCTTTCTGTCTTTTCTATCTCTGTCCTTTAAGCAGCAACAATACTCAACATAAGTATCTGTTTTTGAACTCCTGGGCTCAAGCAGTCCTCCCGCCTTAGCCTCCCAGAGGGCTGGAATTACAGTTGTGAGGCACCACGCCCAGTCAGTGCACTGCTTTTTTCATGGAGAAAGTCTTGCTACTGTAAAAAGGTCAGTGTGCTTAATTGATTTACATTCTGTCACAAACTTCTTATTTTATCACAAACTGATAACAGTTCCTCAATCAGCACTGGTGTTGGACCATACTTGGAGTTAATTCCTGTAGTGTGAGACTTTGACAGTTTTTAAAAATTGTTACCTATATTAAGAAATAGGTTTTACATTTTCATCCAGTGTTACATCTTATACACATGTACATAATAGAAACAATTTTATGAAGAAGTACCTAACCTTTGTGTGACATAATCTGATGTTTGCTATTTTTTTTTAATGCTGATCATGACCTTCTAATGGATTTTAAAAACACTGCCCTCAAGCCTTCAGTACAGTGCTAGAGACATAGTAGTTACGCAGCAAATTCCATACATTCTAGCAGTGATTAAATCTTGAGCGGGTTGAGCCTTCTTAATACTTGAGGATTACTTTAAAATGTTATTTCATCAGGCACAGCACGGCATGGTGGCTCACACCTGTAATCCCAGCACTTTGGGAGGCCGAGGCAGGTAGATTACAAGGTCAGGAGATTGAGACCATCCTGGCTAACACGGTAAAACTTCGTCTCTACTAAAAATACAAAAAAAATTAGTTAGGTGGCATGTGCCAGTAGTCCTAGCTACTCAGGAGGCTGAGGCACAAGAATCATTTGAAACTGGGAGATGGAGGTTGCAGTGAGCTGAGATCGTGCCACGGTATTCCAGCCTGGGTGACAGAACGAGACTCTGTCTCAAAAAAAAAAAAATGTGAGGGCCGGGCGCGGTGGCTCAAGCCTGTAATCCCAGCACTTTGGGAGGCCGAGGCAGGTGGATCACGAGGTCAAGAGATCGAGACCATCCTGGTCTACATGGTGAAACCCCGTCTCTACTAAAAATACAAAAAATTAGCTGGGCATGGTGGCGCGTGCCTGTAATCCCAGCTACTCAGGAGGCTGAGGCAGCAGAGTTGCCTAAACCCAGGAGGTTGCGGTGAGCCGAGATCACGCCATTGCACTCCAGCCTGGGTAACAAGAGCGAAACTCCGTCTCAAAAAAAAAAAAAAAAAACACAGCGAGAAGATACTTATGTTTATTGTTGCTGCCTAAAGGACAGAGATAGAGAGAGATGGTGGGTGACCAAGAAAGACAACTTTTGCTTTCCCTTCAATATTGCCAAAAACCTTGGCAGTGGCTGGTGTGAAGCCCTGCTTAAAATCAGGACCATTTTGAATGACTGCAAACCTCAATTCTCACTTTTTACCTTTCAGTCTTCACTTTGTTGTTCTGGTCATCTAGTCCCTATTCTTTCTCTTTGAAAGGAGCAGAAGGATGTTAGGGAAAGAACATGTTCTCTTTATTGTTAACTCATTTTCAACATTTTTGGGTTTCACTTTTGGAGCACTGCTGTTTGACTAAAGCTGAAGTTATTTATCTTTGTCAGGTTTACACATCTTAAGAATTTTTTGTTCTTAGAAGCATGTTAATTTTTCTTACGTATACTTAGTTGTTTTTTTTTTTTTCTACTTGGAATCCTTTTTGAAGCATAAGATAATTTTTTTTTTTTTTTTTTTGAGACAGAATTTCTTTCTTGTTACCCAGACTGGAGTGCAGTGGTGCAATCTCGGCTCACCACAACCTCTGTCTCCCAGGTTCAAGCGATTCTCTTGCCTCAGCCTCCTGAATAGGTGGGATTACAGGTGTGCGCTACCACGTCTCGCTACTTTTTGTATTTTTAGTAGAGATGGGGTTTCACCATGTTGGCCAGGCTGGTCTTGAACTCCCGACCTCAAGCAATCCACCTGCATTGGCCTCCCAAAGTGCTGGGATTACAGGCATGAGCCACTGCACCCGCTGCATAAGATAATTTTAATGCGTTGTATGTTATGGTTTGTCCCAGATCTAAACAAATAAATTCTTCGAATTATTTGACTTCTGTAGTTAATGAACACTTTAGTATAAGTATCAATGAGTTTGTTGTTACTGCTGCTCTTTTATTTTTTTAAATGATTGAAGCCAAAATAAGGAAATTGAATTCATTCAGTCATTCTAGTCTAATATACTTTATGTCAGTCTATTTTCAGATTTCTTTAATGGCAAAATGACTTGATCAAAAATGTAACATTTTATATTCACATAGATTTAGATTGGTTACACAGTCTTCTGTTTCTCTGAATTCAACCAATGGAAGATTGGAAGTATTTTTTTTTAATAATTGCATCTGTACTGAACCATGTACAGACTTTTTTCTTGTCATTATTCCCTAACCAGTACAACAACTATTTATGTAAAATTTACACTGTATTAGGTATTATAAGTAATTAGGTATCATAAGTAATCTTGAGATACTTTAAAGTATATGGGAGGACGTATATAGGTTATATGCAAATCTTACACCATTTTATATCAGGGATTTGGGCATTTGCAGATTTTTGGTACTTGTGGGAAGTCCTGGAACTACTCTTACACAGATACTAAGGAATTACTATATATATTACTATAAATCAAGGAATTTCTCACTTGATTAGCGGAAAATACCCTTTACCTTCTGTTTGACTTCTGCAGAAATGTGTGTGATTGTAGAGGCTCAAATAGCAATTAAAACACTACCGAAAGTATTTTAACACTAGGCATCATTAAGTGACAGTATAACTTACATGATTTTGTTACTAAAATAGAAACAACTATGGGTTTTTAATGGACTTTAGACATTATCACAGAAGAGTATTACTTATTTTAACTGTTAATTGGGACAGAAAAGAAAGCTTTTAAAAAGTACAGTCTTTCTCCTAGAAACCCTTGCCTAAAATCTTTGGTGACATCGTAATCTTATCCCTGTACTTTTCCTCCTGTGTCTAATCATTTGCTAAGTCCTGTCATTCTTTTTTTTTTTTTTTTTGAGACGGAGTTTTGCTCTTGTTACCCAGGTTGGAGTTCAATGGCGCGATCTCGGCTCACTGCAACCTCCGCCTCCTGGGTTCAGGCAATTCTCCTGCCTCAGCCTCCTGAGTAGCTGGGATTACAGGCATGTGCCACCATGCCCAGCTAATTTTTTGTATTTTTAATAGAGATGGGGTTTCACCATGTTGACCAGGATGGTCTCGATCTCTTAACCTCGTAATCCACCCGCCTTGGCCTCCCAAAGTGCTGGGATTACAGGCTTGAGCCACTGTGCTGGGCCCAGTTCTGTCATTCTACCTTTGCAGTGTCTCTTGTATCTGTCTCCTCTATTCCATCTCTATTGTCCTAGTTCTGACCTTCATCATCTTTCCCTAGGATCATTATAATAGATAACTAATGTTTTCCCTGTCACTCACCGCCTAACTTTGTACTCTTCTTAAGTTCAATCATTTACTTCCCTGCTTCAGAACCCTGCTACCTATAGAAAACAAAATAAATGCTTTAGTAACATTCAAGGCCTTCCATTATCTGTTCCAAGGCTATTTTTTCACTGCCTTGTAGATCCTCGTTCATTCTATGTAGTGGCTAATTCCTAAAGATGTTCTTTACTTGCTTTTCTTCATCCTGCTCTTCATTTCTCTGAAAAATCTTCCCCTTTCCAGACTCAGATCAAATATTGTCTCTTCGATGATGACTTATAAGATCCCTCTAGTCATACTTAATGTTCTCTCTTAATTTTTCTTATACTATAGTATTTTAACCGTATAGTTTGATATTGTACTATGTTGTATTACTACTGTTTACAACTTTCTCTTCCACATTAGTTTTTAAAACTTTGTTGGTATGTTTGTTCTGTTTTTCAGATGGAGTCTCACTCTGTTGCCCAGGCTGGGGTACAGAGGCACAATATTGGCTCACTGCAACCTCCACCTCCTGGGTTCAAGTGAGTCCCCTGCCTCAGCCTCCCAAGTAGCTGGGGTTACAGGTGCCTGACACCATGCTCAGCTATTTTTTTTTTTTTTTTTTTTGAGACAGAGTCTTGCTCTGTCACCCAGGCTGGAGTGCAGGGGTGTGATCTCGGCTCACTGCAACCTCTACCCGCCAGGTTCAAGTGATTCTCCTCCCTTAGCCTCCTGAGTAGATGGGATTACAGGCATACGTGATCATGCCCAGCTAATTTTTTATTTTTAGTAGATATGGGGTTCCACTGTGTTGGCCAGGCTGGACTTGAATGACTGACCTCAAGTAATTTGCCTGCCTTGGCCTCCCAAAGTGCTGGGATTACGGGTGTGAGCCACTGTGCCTGGTCCCAATGTTCTAAGTCTTTTTTTTAAAATCAGTATTTTTAAAAAATGTGTAATTTTTGTTAGTTGCCTGTTTAACCCATAACTTCCTTTTACATCTCTCTGGATACTCGCTTCATATTTGTGTATGTTGCATAGCTTTACACACATTTGCATTGTTACGTTCATGTTATTTCTTTCTTTGAAACTTTAAGTACATTACATATGTTCTTTTTATATGTTATAAAGCATGATAATAAGGTGATCACCTGTGCACATACCACCCAATTTGAGAAATAGAACCTTGCTGTACCCTTGAGGCTCCTTATATGTGTCTTTCTGGTTACAACTCTCCCTCTCCCAAGAAATATAATTTTGTATTTATCCATTTTCTGTCTTTTTTTGTAATTTTACCTCATTTATATCATTAAGCAATATATTGTTCAGTTTAGTTTGATTTTTAAACTTTATATAGAGTATCATATTGCACAGATTCTTGGTTTTTCATTCAACATTGCAGGAGATGGACAGGAGATGATGAGGTGGGAAGGTGGGGAGGGGAGGGTATGTTTTCTGGTTAAATTGTTAATCCTTGGAGAATCAGAGACTATATCTTATATATCCCTTTAATACCCCTTTTTAACACAGGGCCTGCTCTTGCAAGCTAAGTCTCCTAGTGATTTATACTGACAGTGAAACAATGCTGTTGTCTCTATTAAGTATGAGGATACCTAGGGGAACTCTGGCATACTGTTTCTTTAATGGATGCTCTTAGCAGGTTTGATGATGAATTGTTGCGGAATCAGTTACCTCGCTAGAAGGACATATTTGGTATCAGTTGATCCATTTGGGAGTGATAGTGTGATCCAGAGACCTTTTCTCCCCATCACTACAGCTTTAGATGCCGGACCCTGGGTGGATGGTAAAGGGTAGAAAATGTTTGTATATTAGATCATTGTTTCTAAATGCATAAGTCTGAAAGTATAAATTAAAGTGTTTGATTCAACATGTGTTTGTAGATACCTGGAGCAAGTATAGATAGAAAAAAGGTGAAAATGAGGATTACAAGGGATGAGTACCAATAAATAACAAAGTATCAATATTTAATATAAAATATTACTAGAATTAAAGCAAATTGGGGTGCTTTTGAAATTTCTATTGGTGAACAGAGGCCTCCCCATCCCCTGCTCCAAGTTGCATCTTACTCAGCTTTTTAGGATTAGATGTTTATTGGTGTCCATTTGTTTAATAATAGTGAACTGATAGAATGAAGATTAAGAGATTGGAAAGAAGTAGCCAGACATGGTGGCTGATGCCTGTAATCCTAGCACTGTGGGAGGCTGAGGCGGGTGGATCACTTAAGACCAGGACTTTGAGACCAGCCTGGCAAATATGACAAAACCACATATCTACTGAAAATACAAAAGCTAGCTAGGGGCAAACGCCTGTTAATTCCAGCTACTCAGGAGGCTTAGATAGGAGGATTGCTTGAGCTCCCAAGGAGGACTGCAGTGAGCCAAGGTGGTCACCTGGGTAACAAGAGTGAGACCATATTTAAAAAAAAAAAAAAAAAGAAGAAGAAGAAATCACTTAAAAAAAAATAAATAGATATCATCAATAAGAAAGAGAAATATGAGGCCGGGCGCGGTGGCTCACGCCTGTAATCCCAGCACTTTGGGAGGCCAAGGCGGGTGGATTACGAGGTCAGGAGATCGAGACCATCCTGATCAACATGGTGAAACCCCGTCTCTACTAAAAATACAAAAAATTAGTTGGGCATGGTGGCGCCTGCCTGTAATCCCAGCTACTCAGGAGGCTGAGGCAGGAGAATTGCCTGAACCTGGGAGGCGGAGGTTGTGGTGAGCCGAGATCGCGCCATTGCACTTCAGCCTGGGTAACAAGAGCGAAACTCCGTCTCAAAAAAAAAAAAAAAAAGAGAAATATTTCTAGATGAGTATTTTGTGTACTTCTGATATACATTAATGCTTTTTTTGTTGTTGTTTTTTGTGTTTTTTGAGACAGACCCTCTCTGTGTCACCAGGCTGGAGTGCACTGGCATGATCTTGCCTCACTGCAACCTCTGCCTCCTGGGTTCAAGTGATTCTTCTGCCTCAGCCTCCCTAGTTGCTGGGACTATAGGCACGCTCCGCCATGCCTAGCTAATTTTTGTATTTTTAGTAGAGATGGTGTTTTACCAGGATGACATTAATATGACATTAATGCTATTTTAACCAAAGAAACATGTAAAAGCTTCTATTATTCTTACTACTAGTTCCTTTGACAGGTAAGATTCCCAACTCTTAAGACAAAATGATACAAAAAGTAATTCAATTGGTTAATGAAAATTTGAAAAAAATTATTAAAATTATTAAATTGTTCACTTATATTCTGCATATCTTGATATTCTAAATAAAAATTAACCCTAAGAGTTAATTTAGGAGTTTTATTTTTTAACTGCTCCCTTGTTTTATTGTTAATGAGGAAAATTAGTATAATTGTATTTGTTTCAGGAAATAACTACTTTTAAGGAAATACAGCATCCATTGTGAAAGAAAAGATAATTCATCATGCCTGCTGTGGCTTCACTTCCTAAAGAACTCTACCTCAGTTCTTCACTAAAAGACCTCAATAAGAAGACAGAAGTTAAACCAGAGAAGATAAGCACTAAGAGGTATGATGTATCCTTTGCTAGTTTGATTGAATCAAATATTAATTTTTAGTTTATTTCCATATTAAAGTTAGGTGATGTTAATTTAAAGTTTATTTGAAAAATAACACCATCACATGAATAAAATAAGGTCTCCTTGGAGAAGGTCTTAAAGCAATTATAGAATAATACATATATATTCTGCTAATATGCATATTATCAACTCTCCAGAAAGATCATACACATATCTCTAAGTCAGAAGTTTAAGAGGCAAGAATTATAAGGGTTCTAAAAAAAAGAAATTCAGCCACAAGTCATTGTCTTTTCATAAAACAGTATAAAAATAATTCCCTTTTGGCTGGGCATGATGGCTCATGCCTGTAAACCCAGCATTTTGAGAGGCCAAGGTGGGCAGATCACCTGAGGTCAAGAGTTCCAGACCAGCCTGGCTAACATAGTGAAACCCCGTTTCTACTAAAAATACAAAAAATTAGCTGGGTGTGGTGGCATGTGCCGTAATCCCAGCTAGTTGGGAGGCTGAGGCAGGAGGATCTCTTGAAACCAAGAGACCGAGGTTGCAGTGAGCCCAAGATTGTGCCATTGCACTCCACCTTGGGCAACAAGAGCAAAACTCTGTCTCAAATAATAATGATAATTCACCTCCCCCGTTTTTTTTGAGACAGGGTCTTGCTGTCTTGCAGGAATGCAGTGGCATGCTCATGGCTCACTGCAGCTTCAACTTCCTGGGTTCAAGTGATCCTCTTGGCTCACTAGCTCCCAAGTAGCCAGGACCACATGCTTGTGCCCCAATGCCCAGCTAATTCTTAAATTTCTTAGAGAGATGGGGTCTTACTGTGTTGCCTGGATGGTCTTGAATTCATGGCCTCAAGTGATCCACCTGCCTTGGCCTTCCAAAGTGCTGGGATTATAGGAGTGAGCCACCACATCTGGCCAGAGAATGATACAAACTTTAAAGAAAGAATGGAAAATTCCGGAATGAATTGAATTTTAAATCATTACTGAAGACAAAATGGGCTTTTAAAAAAGATGCTTTTGGCCAGACACTGTGGCTCACTCCTGTAATCCCAGCACTTTGAGAGGCCAAGGCGGGCGGATCACCAGAGGTCAGGAGTTTGAGACCAGCCTGGCCAATATGGTGAAACCACACCTTTACTAAAAATATAAAAATCAGCTGGGCATGGTGGCCCATGCCTGTAATCTCAGCTACTTGGGAGGCTGAGGCAGAAGAAATTGAATCTGGGAGGCGGAGGTTGCAGTGAGCCAAGATTGCACCATTGCACTCCAGCCTGGGCAACAAAAGCTAGACTCTTATCTCAGAAAAAAAAAAAAAAAAAAAAAAAATTTGCAACCTAGATCCCTCACATGCGTAGTTCACAATAGAGTTCGTGCTCCTATGGGAATCTAATTTGGCCACTGATGTGACAGGAGGCGGAGCTCAGGCGGTAATGCAAACAATGAGGAGTGGCTGTAAATGCAGATGACAGCTCACTAGACCAACCACTCACCTCATGCTGTATATGGCCTGGTTCCTAACAGGCCACGAACCAGTACCAATCTGTGGCCCTGGGGTTGGGGACCCCTCTTAAAGATTATCTGTGGATTTTGTATATAACCTGTATTTTTTTTCCCAGATGTCAAGTGCTTTAATTATATTTTTTTTCTCTAATTTTAAGCTATGTGCACAGTGCCCTGAAGATCTTTAAGACAGCAGAAGAATGCAGATTAGATCGTGATGAGGAAAAGGCCTATGTACTATATATGAAATACGTGACTGTTTATAATCTTATCAAAAAAAGACCTGATTTCAAGCAACAGCAGGTACCTTTTATTTTTGAATTTTTATTTCCTAAGTTATTTTGCATAATGGAGCTATTGATTTTTTTCTAAAAATTTTAAATAATAATGAAATTAGCTCAAATTATATGCAGTATTATATCTATCTCATATGTAGATAGAAAAAGCAAACTAAAGATACAGTGTTATTCACAAATGGTTGTAATGTGTGAATTTGCTGTGGATTAGTACAAGTTTACAGCAACATACAGATTCATAATTTTTTTCTGAGTTAATTATTGCCAGGTCAAGTAGAAGGATTGAATTTGGTCATTAAGTAAGAAAATATGAGTTTTTTTAATTTTAATTTTAATTTTCCTTCATCGACGCATAAGCTGAGAAAATGCAACTTTTTAAAATAGTACTTTTATTGTACTTTCTTAAGATTTGAGGTTTAGTCTCTTATTTTTATGTGACAACTTTTTTTTTTATTACTGTATATTTTTTGAGACAGAGTCTTGCTATGTTGCTCAGGCTGGAGTACAGTGGCACAACCTTGGCTCACTGCAACCTCTGCCTCCCAGGTTCAAGTGATTCTCCTGTCTCAGTCTCCCGAGTAGCTGGAACCCCACGCACCTGCCACCATGCCTGGCTAATTTTTGTATTTTTAGTAGAGTTGGGGGTTTCTCCATATTGGCCAGGCTGTCGCAAACTCCTGACCTCGTTATCTGCCCACTTTGGTCTTCCAAAGTGCTGGGATTACAGGGGTGAGCCACTACGCCTGGCCAGCTACTAGGTTTTTAGATCTATCTTTGAAAGAGGGAGCCCCTTTAATTTGGAGGTTCATCCATCTGTCCACAGTGGTTGAATTAATCCTGCCCTGGGAGAAACATTATTTATCATTTTTGGACCTGCGTATCTGTAGATAATAGACAGAGGCCTTTCTAAATGCAAACAAATTTTTGAAATATGTTAAAGTGGAATTATTTAAAAGGCAGGATAAACAGTGCTTACTAAAGTAAATATTTTTGAAAGTCTTGAAATTAGGATAACTTTGTTAGTTGTTTGTTTTGTCTGTGTGGCAGGGTTTTGTTTTATTTTGTTTTTAATTTTTTGAGATAAAGTCTCACTCTGTCACCCAAGCTGGAGTGCAATGGTGCGATCTTGGCTCATTGCAACCTCTGCCTCCCTAGTTCAATTGATTTACCTGCCTCAGCCTCCCAAGTAGCTGGGATTACAGGTGTGTGCCACCACACCAGGGTAATTTTTGTATTTTTGGTAGAGATGGGGTTTCACCATGTTGATTAGGCTGCTCTTGAACCTGACCCCAGGTGATCCACCTACCTCAGCCTCCCAAAGTGCTGGGATTACAGACAGGAGCCACCACACCTGGCCAGAGTTTTTTTTTTGTTTTTTTTAAACATTCTTGTTTACTTTTTTCTTTATTCTTGGAAGTTAGTAGTTATTTTTTTTCTATGACAAGATTGAGAATATTTTTGTAGCTAGATTTTTTTTTTAATCTTCTTGAGAAGGTAGTGAGTACATTTAAATAGATAAGAGATTTTTCATTTCTATAGAGTCTCTATTGCACTTCCAAAGGGAGTATCTAGGCAGAGAAGTTCAGGTTGAGAAGTTCCCTGCAAAGATTCCGGTAACTTAGGCCATTATTTTATATGATTCAGTAGTTCAGTTCCTGCTTTTCAGTAAAAGGATTATTTTCATTTACTCTGTCCAGAGTATTTCATTGTTTCTGTCTTAGAACTATTTTTTGTTTGTTCTGAGACAGAATCTCACTTCCATCACCCAGGTTGGAGTTCAGTGGTCACAATCAAGGCTCACTGCAGCTTCCACTTTCTGGACTCAGCTGATTCTCCCACGTCAGCCTCCAGAATAGCTGGGACTACAGACACGTACCACCACACCTGGCTAATTTTTTTATTTTTTGTAGAAACGCAGGGTCTTACCCTGTTGCCTAGGCTGGTCTTGAACTCCTGGGCTCAAGGGATCCATCCACCTGCCTCGGCCTCCCAAAGTGCTGGGATTACAGCTGTGAGCCACCTCGTCCAGCTGCAGAACTGTTTTTTGCTGTGTTTTCTATAGCCCAACCTCTCTAGTATACTTCAAGTATGTGAGGTGCTAAATTTACTAACAAGATATTTTCTGTTTTTACCCTTTCAATCAGATAGGGACTGAATATATATCATTAAACTTCCTTAGAAACTTGTATTTTTTCACTCTTATTTTGTACTAGAAAATGTTTGCGATTTAGGCCTGGTGCAGTGGGTCACCCCTGTAATCCCACTGCTTTGGGAGGCTGAGGAGGGTGGATCACTTGCGGTCAGGAGTTTGAGACCAGCCTGGCCAACATGGTGAAACCCCATCTCTACTAAAAATACAAAAATTAGCTAGGCATGGTAGTGTGCATCCATAGTTCCAGCTGTTTGGGAGGCTGAGGCAGGGGAATTGCTTGAATCTGGGAGGCAGAGGTTGCAGGAAGCTGAGATCGCACCACTGCACTCCAGCCTGGGCTACACAGTGAGACTCCATCTCAAAAAAAAAAAAAAAAAAAAAGAACAAAACAAGTCATAGCATTTTTGGTTTTACTTTGTATCTTGTTTTTATTGAGAATGATCACATTATGATTTCTGTTAAATGATTCTGTTAATGTAATGATTACATATGTTTTCTGTTAAGAGAATTACATCAGTAGTCATGACATTGTGTGTGCTAACTGAAATTTTTGTAACGTTCAGTTGATACAGTATTGAACAAACTGTTCACTTTTATTGGAATTAAGTAGTGAAGGGTCCTTCTAATATATTTAGGCTGTAGGAGAATAAAGCAAACAAAGCATGATCTACTTTTTTTTTTTTTTTTGAGACATGGTCTTGCTCTGTCGCTCAGGCTGGAGTGCAGTGGTGTGATCTCGGCTCACTGCAACCTCATCCTCCTGGGTTCCAGCAGTTCTCCTGCCTCAGCCTCTGGAGTAGCTGGGTTTACTCCTGAGTAGCTGGGCTCGCACCACCATACCTGGCTAATTTTTATATTTTTAGTAGAGATGGGGTTTCACCATGTTGGTCAGGCTGGTCTCCAACTCCTGACCTCGTGATCCTCCCACCTTGGCCTCCCAAAGTGCTGTGATTGCAGGTATGAGCCACCATGCCCGACCAGCATGATCTACTTTTAGGCTAGATAGACATATGATAACTGTTAATAGACCTTTTTTGAGGCAGTGTCTCACTCTCTTTCTCTGTTGGAATACAGTGGTGTGATCATGGCTTACTGAAGCCTCAACCCTCTGGGTACAAGCTGTCTACCCACTTTGGCCTCACAAAGTGTTGGGGTTACAGGTGTGAGCCGCCTGGCCTGGCCATCAACAGATCTTTGTTCTTAAAAATCAGTCTTAGCCAGGTGCGGTGGCTCCTGCCTCTAATCCCAGCACTTTGGGAGGCCGAGGCAGGCGGATTGCCTGAGCTCAGGAGTTTGAGACCAGCCTGGGAACATAGTGAAACCCCGTCTACTAAAAAAAAAAATTAGCCAGGCGTGGCAGCACACTCCTGTAGTCCCAGCTACTCGGGAAGCTGAGGCAGGAGAATTGTAAGAACCCGGGAAGCAGAGGTTGCGGTAAGCTAAGATGGCACCACTGCACTCCAGCCTGGGCGACAGAGCGAGACTCTGTCTCAAAAAAAAGGAAAAAAAATAAGTCTCATGTTAATTGGGACACAAAAATTAAATATTTTGCTATATTACTCATATTCTGTTCTTGTGTTACCACATACTCTTGAAATTTAAAAAGTGTTTAGAATGATAGATTGTTGAGCACCAGTATATTTGATTAGAGCTCAGGTCCAGGTTTCTGAAATTATGTTTGTAAATACTTGGCAGTTTTCTTTAGAAAAATTTAATTATTCTTATGCTCCAGGTTGTATTGTGCTACTGGTCACTGGTCTTATGGGAATGAAATATGTACTGTTAGTTTTTGTTGTTACTGTTTTGAAATGGAGTCTTACTCTGTCGCCTAGACTGGAATGCGGTAGCACTATCTCGGCTCACTGCAACCTCCACCTCCAAGGTTCAAGTGATTCTCCTGCCTCAGCCTCCCAAGTTGCTGGGATTACAGACAGGGACCACCACGCCTGGCTAATTTTCATATTTTTAGTAGAAACGGGGGTTTGCCATCTTGGCCAGGCTGGTCTTAAACTCCTGACCTCAGGTGATCCACCTGCCTCAGCCTTCCAAAGTGCTGGGATTACAGGTGTCAGTCACCGCGCCCAGCCTACTGTTAGTTTTGATCTGCCTTGGAAGTTATATTTCTTTATTTGTATCATAAGTAATCTAGAAGTTATATATTTATATGGGCTGTTATATATGTTTATATGGCTTCACCATTGCAGCTCTTCATAACTGAGAGCCAAGATGACTACTTCTGAGCTATAACTCTTCTTTTTACACATTTTGATTATTATAATTTGTAATGAACTGCTATTAGGCTCTATTTGCAAAGTTATGTTGACATGTTATGACAAATTGGATGCAGTAATCATTAAATTGACTTAACTGGCTACTGTTAAGTCATACCAACCTTGATTTGAAAATATCTCTGATTGTAGGGTCCAACTTCATTGTACTTTTTAGTAAATTATATGCCAAACCTTTTGCTTGTTTTTTTTTTTTTTTTTTTTTTTGAGTCTCACTCTTTTGTCCAGGCTGGACTGCGGTGGCGCGATCTTGGCTCACTGCAGTTCTCCTGCTTCAGCCTCCCGAGTAGCTGAGGCTACAGGTGTGCATCACCATACCTGGGTAATTTTTTGTAGTTTTAGTAGAGACGGAGGCTGGTCTCAAGCTTTTGTCCTTGTGATCCACCCGCCTCAGCCTCCCAAAGTACTGGGATTACAGTCGTGAGCTGCTGCACCTGGCCACCTTTTGCATTTTTTAAAGGTAGATTATACTTTTTTTTTTCTTCTTCCTGAGACAGAGTCTTGTTCTGTTGCCCAGTCTGGAGTGCAGTGGTGCAATCTCAGTTCACTGCAACTTCCGTCTCCAGGGTTCAAGTGATTCTCCTGCCTCAGCTTCCTGAGTAGCTGGGATTACAGGGGCATACCACCACACCCACCTGATTTTCATATGTTTAGTAGGCACAGGGTTTCATCTTGTTGGCCAGGATGACCTTGGAACTCCTGTCCTCAAGTGATCTGCCTGCCTCAGCCTCCCAAAGTGCTTGGATTACGGTTGTGAGCCACCATGCCTGGCTGGATTATAGTATTAAGTATTTATTTTCCATTACTTGGTTTTTAGTTGGTCCAAGTTTCCTAAAGTATAAAACTTGTTTTATGTATCAAAAGTGTTTTGACTCCAGTTGGGATGTAGGTAGCTATTGTAGAGTACAGGGGGAAGCAAAAATATCTGTTTAGAACAAGTAAACAAAACAAATTCCATGTTGTGTCTGTAAACATTTTGCATTATTACTTGTAAGACTAGAGGAAAAATCAAAGTACATATTTTTAATTAGAAAACACATCTTATTCTTGAAAGCTTTGCTTGTTGGCACTTATAAATAATAAGAATGTTATTTATACTTTTTAATGGTGATTTACAAATCAAATTTATGAACTACTGGATCTTTTTAACTTACTAATAGTATGAAGACATACTTTTGAAACATTTGGAGAATAAATTATACATTTATGTAAGTTAAAAGTTTTAAAAAATCTTCAATTGTAATAAAACAAACTTCCCTTTGTATAAGCACCATGATTGTAATGCTTTTAGCACTAGTTTTACATGCAATGCCTAGTACTAACAATATGGGATGGTTTTCCTGTAATTTTAGGATTATTTCCATTCAATACTTGGACCTGCAAACATCAAAAAAGCCATTGAAGAAGCTGAAAGACTCTCTGAAAGCCTTAAATTAAGGTACAGATATTATGAAATCTTTAAAATAATGTAAATTTAGAGTATAAAAGTAATATTTAAGATTTACCGCCTGGCGCAGTGGCTCACGCCTATAATCCCAGCACTTTGGGAGGCTGAGGTGGGCAGATCACAAGGTCAGAAGATCGAGACCATCCTGGCCAACATAGTGAAACGCTGTCTCTACTAAAATATAAAAATTAGCTGGGCGTGGTGGCACGCATCTGTAGTCCCAGCTACTTGGGAGGCTGAGGTAGGAGAATTGCTTGAACCCGGGAGGCGGAGGTTGCGGTGAGCCAAGATCGCAGGTACATATTTTTAATTAGAAAACACATATTATTCTTGAAAGCTTTGCTTATTGGCACTTATTCATAAATAACAAGAATGTTATTTATACTTTTTAACAGTGATTTACAAATCTTGTTGCACTGCACTCCAGCCTGGTGCCTGGTGACAGAGCAAGACTCTGTCTCAAAAAAAAAAAAAAAAAAAAAAAAAGGATTTACCCATTTATATCTGACCATTCACTAATATTTCATTTTTTTCCCTTGAGATAAGAGTTTTGCTCTTGTCGCCGAGGCTCAAGTGCAGTGGTGTGCTCCCAAGACACTCGCTGCAGCCTCTGCCTCCTGGGTTTAAGCAGTTCTCCTGCCTCAGCCTCCAAAGTAGCTGGGATTACAGGCTCCCACTACCATGCCCAGCTAATTTTTTATTTTTAGTAGAGAGGGGGTTTCACCATGTTGGCCAGGCTAGTCTTGAACTCCTGATCTCAAATGATCTGCCTACCTTGGCCTCCCAAAGTGATGGGGTTATAGGCATGAGCCACCATGCCCAGCCATATTCCAATTTTTAGAAATAAATCTTATATTAACTGGGAGACAAACATTAAAATTTTTTTATATCACTTATATAGTGTTCATGTGTTGCCACTAATATTCTTTATTTAAATTTTTGAAAGTGTTTAGAATGACAGATTGTTAAGTTAAACACTGGTTTGTTAGAACTCAGGTCCAATATTTCTAAGTTATAATATTTGTAAGTTTCTGGCAGTATTCTTTAGAAAATTTTAATTATTCATATGTTCTTTGGTGGATCATGCTTCTGGACACTATGTTAATAGAAATGAAGGATTTACTGTTAGTTTTGATCTGCCTAATTACAGAAGTTATTTAAATTTAGAAAAAAAAAAACAAAACTGATTCCAGTATTTGCCATGACTTGCTTACCAGGTTTACAATTATAAAACAACAGGAGTATGTTTCAGTTTTTGTTCATTAGTCATTCTTTCATATTTAAATTGTTTCCCTTATGAACAACATAATGCTGTCGTGTGGATCCTAGTAGATAAATTTCTGCCTGTATCTATAGCATAAAAATTGTTAATGGATAAAACCAAAAGCATTCTCAGCAATATGATACAGAAGGAGAGAACATTGGAACTGGTTTTTTGTTTTGTTTTGTTTTTTGAGACAGTTTTGTTCTTGTTGCACAGGCTTGAGTGCAGTGGCACGATCTCGGCTCACCACCGGGCTGCCTCCCGGGTTCAAGCAATTCTCCTACCTCAGCCTCCCGAGCAAGTGGAATTACAGGCATGCACCACCATGCCCAGCTAATTTTTTTGTATTTTTAGTAGAGATAGGGTATCTCCATGTTGGTCAGGCTGGTCTCAAACTCCCAACCTCAGGTGATCTGCCTGCCTCAGCCTCCCAAAGTGCTGGGATTACAGGCGTGAGCCACTGAGCCTGGCCAGGAACTGGTTTTAAATCATATGAGCTGCCAAAGCCTGGTTAGTGAAAAAGGGCAAATTGAGAGATGTATGATGCAAATAGTAATTTGAAGGAGGAAACTGAAAGATTTAAGTAGGGTGACATGTTTCTTTACTTTTTCTTTTTCTTTTTTTTTCCTTTTTTTTTTCCCCACCTCATCCTCCCAGGGTGACATATTTCTTTACTGGATTGATTTTTTTTCACTGAGAATGTATCATATGTTACTTGTATTTAAAAATATTCTGGCTGGGTACGGTGGCTCACGCCTGTAATTCCCAGCACTTTGGGAGGCCCAGGCAGGCAGATTACTTGAGGCCAGGAGTTTGTGACTACCCTGGACAGCATGGTGAAACCCTGTGTCTACTAAAAATACAAAAAAGTAGGCTGGGTGTGGTGGTCATCACCCACCTGGAGTGGAGCTACTCTGGAGGCTGAGGCAGGAGAATTGCTTGAACCTGGGAGGTGGAGGCTACAGTGAGCCAAGATTGCACCACTGCGCTCCAGCCCAGGTTACAGAGTGAAACTCCACCTTAAAAAAAAAATTCTTTCTGAAATAAAAAGCTTAAAATGTTTTGTTCTTTAAAAAGTTTTTATTTGCCGGGCGCAGTGGCTTATGCCTGTAATCCTAGCATTTTGGGAGGCTGAGGCGGGCGGATCACCTGAGGTCAGGAGTTCAAGACCAGCCTGACCAATATGGTGAAATCCCGTCTTTAAAAAAAATTTAAAAATAAAAATAAAGTTTTATTTACATTTTTTTTTTAAATTTTTTAAGATGGAGTCTTACTGTGTCACCCAGGCTAGAGTACAGTGGTGTGATCTGGGCTCACTGCAGCCTTCACCTTCCAGGTTCAAATGATCCTTTGGCCTCAGCCTGTCAAGTAGCTGGGATTATAGGCATGCACCACCATACTTGGCTAGTTTTTGTATTTTTAGTAGAGATGGGGTATCACCATGTTGGACAGATTGGAATACGGCTGGGCACGGTGGCTCATGCCTGTAATCCTAGCACTTTAGGAGGCTGAGGCGGGCAGATCACTTGAAATCAGGAGTTTGAGACCAGCCTGGTCAACATGGTGAAATAACATCTCTACTAAAAATACAGGAAAAAAAAAAAAAGAGCCAGGCAAGGTGGCAGACGCCTATAATCCCAGCTACTCAGAAAGCTGAGGCAGGAGACTCACTTGAACCTGGGTAGCAGAGGTTGCAATGAACTGAGATCTTGCCACTTCACTCTAGCCTGGGTGACAGAGTGAGACTCTTGTCTCAAAAAAAGAAAATAACTCTCAACTTATAAAGGAAGTCATTGAAAAAATGATTCATTATTTAGATATTTACTTTTATGCTGTGATAGAATGAGCCATCTTTCAATGTAATGAGATCCCTGCTACTAAATAACCTCTGGGGTCCTTTCAAATTCTAAGGCTTTTTTTTTCTTAATTATTATTATTATTATCATATATATATATATTTTATTGCATTTTAGGTTTTGGGGTACATGTGAAGAACATGCAAGATTGTTGCATAGGTACACACATGGCCATGGGGTTTGCTGCCTTCCTTCCCATCACCTGTATCTGGCATTTCTCCCCTTGTTATCCCTAACTCCCCACCCCTGGCTGTCCCTCCCCGAGTTCCCCCCTAAAGACCCCAGTGTGTGATGCTCCCCTCCCTGTGTCCATGTGTTCTCATTGTTCAACACCTGCCTATGAGTAAGAGCATGTGGTGTTTGATTTTCTGTTCTCGTGTCAGTTTGCTGAGAATGATGGTGACCAGGTTCATCCATGTCCCTACAAAGAACATGAACTCATCGTTTTTGATGGCTGCATAATATTCCATGGCATATATGTGCCACACTGTCCCTGTCCAGTCTATCATCGATGGGCATTTGGGTTGGTTCCAAGTCTTTGCTATTGTTAACAGTGCTGCAATGAACATTTGTGTGCATGTGTCCTTAAAGTAGAATGATTTATAGTCCTTTGGATATATACCCAGTAATGGGATTGCTGGGTCAAATGGAATTTCTATTTCTGGGTCCTTGAGGAATTGCCACACTGTCTTCCACAATGGTTGAACTAATTTACACTCCCACCAACAGTGTAAAAGTGTTCCTATTTCTCCACATCCTTTCCAGCATCTGTTGTCTCCAGATTTTTTAATGATCGCCATTCTAACTGGCATGAGGTGGTATCTCAATGTAGTTTTGATTTGCATTTCTCTAATGACCAGTGATGATGGGCATTTTTTCCTATGTTTGTTGGCCTCATATATGTCTTCTTTTGTAAAGTGTCTGTTGATATCCTTTGCCCACCTTCGAATGGGCTTGTTTGTTTGTTTGTTTTTGTAAATCTGTTTTAGTTCTTTGTAGATTCTGGATATTAGCCCTTTGTCAGATGCGTAGATTGCAAAAATTTTTTCCCGTTCTTTTGGTTGCCGATTCACTCTAATGATTGTTTCTTTTGCTATGCAGAAGCTCTGGAGTTTAATTAGGTCCCATTTGTCTATTTTGGCTTTTGTTGCCAATGCTTTTGGTGTTTTAGTCATGAAGTCCTTGCCTATGCCTATGTCCTGAATGATTTTGCCTAGGTTTTCTTCTAGGGATTTTATGGTGTTAGGTCTTATGTTTAAGTGTTTAATCCATCTGGAGTTAATTTTAGTGTAAGGTGTCAGGAAGGGGTCCAGTTTCTGCTTTCTGCACATGGCTAGCCAGTTTTCCCAACACCATTTATGAATTGTAAGGCTTTTTAAATGTACTTTGAATTTTTCCTTTGCATAGGTTATTTTGCAACTAGTTGTGGAGAACCTTTTCACTCTTTTTTCTCCCTGTCTGCCCTCTCCCAGCCTCCTGCACCATGTTGGTGTCTTTCACGGACATTTAGAGCAACTCTGTATGAACATATCTTCACATCTGTCCTGTCCTAATTCTGTAATAAGTCAATCACAGAGATGTTTTCCTCCTTTAAGTCTCTGAAATCTGCATGACTAGGATTTCTCTCTTGCCAGGTTCTGTAGGTTTGGAGAATAGATCATAACTTTCAGGTGAAAGCCCTCAACATCTTGGGGTAAATTTTCTGCTAAATTCTGCCCAATCGTGTAATGTCATGATCTGTGTCTTCCCACTCCAAGTATAGGCATAGCCCCAGATTCTTAAAAAATGCTTTAGTGAAAAGACCTAATAAGTGGCTAGAAAATAGATTTCAGTATCACCTCCCATTAAGGAATACTTACTAAACCTTTATT